GAAGAGCGGAAAGTGGTGGACGGAGGAGGTGACCGGAGACATCAAGACGTGGATCAGCGCCGCCATGACCGACGTGGAGACATGCTCCGACGGATTGGAGGAGATGGGATCGACGGTCGGAGATCGGATCAAGGAGCAGATGGAGTCAGCGAAGGAGACGATGAGCAACAGCTTGGCCATTGTTTCTCAGATCAAGAAGCTTCTCGAGAAATTCCACTGAGGAAGAAGACGACTTTCTGATTTTTGTTTTTCATATATTCAATGGTGTGTTCTTCTTTAATATTCGAATTTGAAGTGTTATATTTTGTGTATTTATTGTATGTATAATTTGATTTTCACGATACACTATTATTGATATTTTAGTTGTATTACAAGAAAGAACCCTTTGCTACACACAAAAATGGAAGGAAGAGAGAGAGAGAGACTTTTAACGAAGTTACCCAGCATTCTCCATTTGTTTCACTTTAGGTATCGTATTTTCAATTTGTTCAATTTGCCCCCATCCGCAAGAAACACAAGGCAGTGATTGATCCTCTCTGAAGGCTAGAAGGAGATTCTGCGACGCCTTGTCGTGTCTGCTTCTTTCTTCGTCGCCTCCATCAACTGCGGAAAAAAAAAACAGAGCATTCCAGTTTCAGATCTCCATATCATGTAAGAGAGAAGGCACATTTCAAAAACTGAGCTCCACCATTTTCCTTCCATGGCGTGTTTTTTTTTTTGGGAATGAGGGAAGGAAATACTTTTCTGTAGGAGTAGTGAATGAAGCAACAACCTCGATTTTCAGACCAAAAAAAAAAACATGGTAGTACCTGCAAGGTAAGGGACCTGATTGCTTCCTTTGAAGATCTGTTCTTCTCTGTTTCTTCTCTTGCCACCAACATCGCAATCTCCAGTTTCTTAGACGACGTTCCCAGCTCGGTTTCCAGTTGTTTCGTTTTCTGTGTTAGATCTTCCACCTTCATCATAACAGTTACGTTTCAATACCCTATATAGTATATAGCTTAGCTTAGATGTCTGAAAATGGCAAGGGAATGAAATAACCTGTGCTTTTAGTACAGCAATTTCCTGGTTCAGACAGTGATTTCTCTTCTTCGATCCATCTTGCGGCAACTCTGGATCGGGAAGGTCAGTATAATAGTCTGAAGTTGTGGCAGCGGAATAGACGGGGCTGGATTTTACCGACAAAGGAAACAACAACTCGGCCGATGCCCTCTGAGTAGCGGCAACTGAATGTCTTACCAGAGAGGAAGTGTCGGATTTCGAAGCATAATGCTTTGAACGTTGCCTCCCTCCTTCTTGTTTGAACGAATCGAAAGAGGTGAGCCTGGAAAGTCGGCGTACTCCTTTCACGCCTTTAATGTCCGTCTCGCTACTACTCGACTTCATCATCCAATGGCTTACTCTAGAGGCTTCTCCGACGTGTTTCAGTTCCGGGCTCTTGGCTTGTCTGAAAAAATCGAATGAATCCAACCTGAGAAGTTGGCGTTGCGGCTTTCCGCCGAGCGATTCCTTTTCATCTATGTCGTTGCTGCTCGAATGTATACTCGCATTTGAACGCCTAAGATTCCCCGGGGGAAATCCTTCAGATTCTCTAACTCCTTCAAGTTTCTCGTAACAGTCATCGCATACCCGGAAAGGCTTCTGCACCTTAGGAGCCATGGCTGCCGCTAGAGATTTCTTGCTCGTGCACGAGTTGCAGAAAATGCTCCCGCAGTTGTAACAGTTGTGAGGCTTCCTCAGGTAATTAAAAGGGTTCCGACAACTGGAACACCTCGAGCTGTCTTTGCAAGAGATCGGCTTGTGAAGACAAATGGCTGCTGTAAAGTTAGAACCACATACTATCCTCTTCACCTGTTTGCCTTTCAGAGCTTTGACCAGAGTCGGTATGCCTCTGTCTTCGGTGTCTCCATGCCCGAGTTGCCCGTTTGATCCTTTTCCCCAAGTGTAGACTTCGGTTTTCGAGTTCAAAACCGCGATATGACGTAATCCACACGTCACCTCTTCAACTAAACTCTTTCCTATGCCATCCACGACACAAGCAGGAACCTTGATGATTTTCTCGAGGCTTGGATCAGCAGTTCCCGTGATGTACACCCGTCCAGATTCAGACAGAGCGACTGTAACGCTCTGTCCGCAAGCTACCTGTCGGAAGCTAGTTGTCTCCACTGCAGTTACAGAAGATGGAACTAGCTTAGATTCTTCATTATCATGTCCGAGTTTACCCTTTTCTCCGTCACCCCATGTAAAAAGTCGTCCTGACAGAGAGCTGTCCGAAGCTGAGATCTCAACAATGGCAGCCGAGTGCCAAACACCACATGATGTCTTTACCGTTCTGCATCCTTTTAACGCCTCGACCTCCCTAGGTATACTCGTGCTTGACCGATCACCATGGCCAAGAGCACCAAAAGCACCATCTCCAAATGTAAACAACCTTCCATCCAATGTTACAACGGCCGTATGCCATGACCCGCAAGACACGCTCCTGACATGTATGCCCTCCATTTCACCGAGGATTCTCACCGGTTTCCAGTGGCTGGCTTCGTTACCGAGTCCTAGTAGACCAAGATTGTGAATCCCGTCTCCCCACGCATATAAATCCCCCGTGACTGTGACAGCACACGTATGAAATTCCCCACAGTCAGCAAACTCTATCGATGATCCTTCGAGTTCGTCGATAAGCTTAGGCTGTGGAATGTCAGAAGAAATTCCATGGCCTAATCTCCCACCAGATTCTTCACCCCAACTGTACATCTGGCCATGCTTTGTGACCAATGCCATGTACTTAGAGCCACAAGAAAGAGCATGTGCATCTAATGCAACATGTGAGTTGAGGACTTTAGGCGAAAACAAATCGCTCATTGAACCATAGCTACTCCCACCTGCCCTGCTCATACCGTCGGATGATGATACGCCATTGCCAAAGCCTTCTCCCCAGACAAAAACATCACAGAGAGAATCTTCATGACAAGATACTTGCCCAGATCCAGATGAAATCACAGAGCTGGAAAAACTGGATTTTCCTGCATCGACTTCAGAGGAGCGGCTAGGTGGATTCTCGTGGTTATCGGGCAGCGAATGATTCGGCTTTTCTCCGAAACCCTCCGAAGAAAATGCCCTAACTACAGCGGTTTGTGACAGAACATCTGAAAAAACTTTCCCCAGCCTTGGTGGAGTGCTCTTGCAAGACCTTGAGAAGGCCCTTTCAGTTTCTCCTACCTCCTGCCATGGCAGATGAGACAACAAGACAAAGACTGAGTAGGAAACTACATACATATGTATATATAAACAACGAAACAGCCTCACTGAAAAAGCTCAAAAAACCTTGTAGCTGATTTCACTGCTGGCAGAGCTGAGATTTGAAACAGAGTTTGAGTAAGAGAGATCATTGCCGGGGAAGAAACTAAGGTTTCTTGAATGGTTTATCAACTGAGAAGATTTGCGTCGTGAGAGAAGAGCACGAATCGTCGTAATCCAGAACTCTGCTTCATCTCTATCCTTGCATACCTGTCCTTGAAAGTTCAGCCAAAGGCTATTATCAGGGGTGGGTAGTGCTACATAAAAGCTAGAGTCTCATACAGAGAAATGGACAGAACAGAAGATTTCGGTTTCAGTTTCATAATCCATGTTATGCGCAATGGGGACAGTCGGGCATGGAGAAAAGAAAGCAAAATACTAACCAAATCCAAGGAACGGTCACCATATATAAGAGAGAAAGACTGATATTCCTTCTCTGGTTGAGGATATCGCTTAAAAACTGCCTGAGATACATAACAAAAGACTGCTGTTTGGTTTGATCTGATCCGGGAACCCAGAACAAGACAGGGTGTTTTGACTTACAGTTCGTTGGCCCGGTATGATCTTCGAGACAGAACTCAGTTTAAGGCGTTTCTCCTTTTTGCCGCAGTACCAGAGCAGAACTGTTTCATCCTGAAACATTTGCAAGATCGATGGTTCAACATATGTCTGGCAAAAATGGAGAAGGGGATCAAATGGGGCGTACGCTGGAAAGCCGGAATGGGTAGAACTTGGGTTTTCCCCTTCGTCCATACTTGAGAAGATAAGCTCCTTTCTTGAGGATCGCTATGGCCTGCGGCAGATTAGATTAAAACACAGAAGCTCATCTCTCTCGATGAAGAACGTTGAAAGATGTTCCTGCAACTTACCTGGTCGTTCTCTCTGTCAGTGGTGGGGCTCTTCTGGAAGCAGGCCATTCCAATTTCTTCCGTATCAGACGCAGAGATCGTGATGAGCAACAACGCAGAGAACCACCAATCGATCCCAATGCTCGCCCCATATAAAACCCTTTTCCTCAACGTTATAATCATCCGGCAATTTCATCTATTCTCCCAGGGGATCACATCTCGCAGCTCTTATCACCCTTTCCATTCGAATCCTTGTTCTCTTTTTCTCCTCAATCCTGTAATTTCATCTGTTTTCCCAGAAAAATCAAATCCTAGATCATACGAATATCTCCTTGTTCGCTAATCGCACGCCAAAAACTGGAATCCTCTGAGCAAATCGAATCGAACCCAGATGACAGAAAATCCCGAAATTCCGGCCAGACGCTAAGGATTCAGAGCAATTTCAAAGGCACGCACGAGAGCGCTCGACATTCCCGACGGACGGAACCCACATTCACGCTCACGAGAGATGGTTTTTGCGGCTGACTTTCTCGGAAATCCAACAGCGAAACAGCCTTTCATGCAATTGAATTTAGGAGGAGAACGAGAGACCTTAATAAACCAGATTATAGAAGACGTCATATTCCCCTCTAATGTTTGCTTTTTAACATGCATTTATACGTTTATAGTAACATATGGTTGGTTGTTGTTATTATTATCCTGTCCTAACGTCAAGATCTACATACATATTCATTCCAAGTGATGGACCATCTCATCCATATATAAGATCTATATACATATATGTATGTGTATATACACACACATAGCAAAAGGTGTAAACTTCTCGACTCTAGTAAAAAACAAAACATGAACAAGGAAGAACAACATATGCAGTGAGACATAACATAACTCGTATGATCAGAAGCCTGCTTCGGCGTATCACACCCTTTAGTAGTAGCGGTAATCCTCATCGAAAACCGAGTAACCGACATTTTTCGCCGAAGTATCCGCCTGAGAGAGAAACGAATCGGATCAGATACGAGCCCACGGAACCAAATTCAAGTTTTCAGAATCAAAGACATCCATACCCAGCGAACACGCTTCTCGAAAGGCTCTTGATTAATATCCGATTTCCCAGCAGGAAGCGGAAAGTCATCATCTTTCTTACCGGGCACATACCAGACATTGACGGCCTGCGAGTTGACAAACAGAGGCCTCACAAAGTGCTCGTAGACATAAGCGGCGCCACTGAAGCACGGTATGACCAACCAGCATGTTAAGATCAGTTTGGCATACGGCCATATAGGAATCCTGAATGCATCAAACTGTACAGTTTAGTCCAAACAATGAAACATAAAAAACATCACCGAGTTTAAACAACAATTGCTCCTACACAGCAACTTCTACACAAGTATCTTTTCAAAAGATTAAGATGGCATTCTCAAATTGGGACGATGTATACTTTGGGCATATGGTAGATAAACCTATGAAACCCATAACCGGTAAGGAATCTGGTTTTTGGCAACCCAAGTCAGTTTAAAGAGGAAACAAGTCCTGGCAATCCATTACAAGACATGAAACAAAAGGCTTGCAAGTGAAGAAACCTAAAACAACTGGCTGTCCCTCCAACCAAGGTCTTCAATTCATTACCGCACAACCCAATGCCAAGAACAGAAAAATGGCGGCCATAGCTGAAACTTACCATTCGATGACCTTGTAGAACGTGAGCTCGAACAAAGTGATCAGCGAATACAGAACCCAATACGTGAGCCATTGCTTGTCATCCCCAGGAGACTTCGATTCTATGGCCCTCACTGACGCGTATCTTTTGAATCAGCCACCAAAAGAATAAAAAAAAAATCAGAGGATTATTTTAGGGTTTACCTCCGCAATTCTCACTTCGCAGATCACGCTCTCACCCAAGAATTCCTATAAATCTACCAACTTTCCAACGAATTACCTCGGAAGAGATGGTAAAATCATAACTAAAATCCAATCGAAAAACTCCCCCAAATATATTGGTGCATACTTCGGAAAGTAAATTCAGAAACTGCAAAGCATGGGATTTATGGGATAAAGAAATACATTTGAAAAGGAAAAGTTACGCGACTTACAGAGGATAAACCAATCCAACAACAGGCCTGCAAAAAAACACGAATCAAATGTGCAGAAGAACGTCACAAACCCTAAGAAATTCTTTTTTTTATAAAAAAACCCAGAAAAGTTAGTGCCGATGAAACACAGAGTTAGGCGAAATATTACCCAGCAAGAACGTCGAAATTCTTGAAGACGACTTTGAGGAAATTCCCGGCACCGGAACTCATCTTTTCGACAGAATCTCGCCAACACTCCGCCTCCAACGGACCGACTCCACTTTGGGTTTTATATTCGGACAAGGGAGAGAGCGGCGATGAAAAAGAAAAACGGGCCCGACACACGTGCGCAAGTAAAAGTTAAGCCACGTGGCAGGATCCTGGCGGCGGCGTTGCATGAAAAATTGTTATGACCATTGGATACCATAGCAGTATACGTGTCAAAATATTAGTGGTTTCCTTTACTGCTAAACCTATCTGATTATGATGAGATTTGCAACGTATATGTTCCCCCTTTTGAATTTTGAAATATATGCCTCATTTTAACGCAGTTGGTTTTTTTTTTTTTAATATTACGGCTATATTTTCAGAAATGTAAGTTGTTGGAGATCACCTATATACGATTGATAATTATAAAGGGTTCTATTTTTAAGGTTTATACACTGAATTGAAAGATAAAACAAAAAAAATTTAATTGTACATTTATAACGAATAGTAAAAATTTAAATTTGTCTATATGTTATATATGATTGAAAAAAATAAAGATATGTTAGGTACGATTGATTGGCGAGATAATTTGATATGGTGGTGAAGATGTGAGATTTAGATGAAAGTAACACGTATAAAGTTTTAATATAAGCAAGGATATTATTGTATAAAGTTTTTCATTTCAAATACTTTCTAAACATTTATCTTTAAACACATTTTTCCATTTGATATTTTTTTACAGAATTCTAAGCGTGAATATTTTAAATATTTGACATTTTCTCATTTTTTTTTCTTTACACTATCGTGTAGAAAAGAAGATAAAAAAAAAAGGTTTGTGAATGTTTATATTAATATAAAATTCGTAAGAGAGAGAGGGAGGAGTGTAGATGACAAGAAGAGGAGAGAGATATGAATGTATGGGCTCCATATATATCTTACCGCACCTGATTACGTTTTCGGGCCCTCACTCCTACAATCCCTTTTTTCTCACCATTCAATTTCATATATTTACATACATATATAATGAAGATGATGATGCCGATCTGCCACAAGTAAGATGAGCGTTTCCACGCCATTAAAAATAATTTGAAAATTAATAATATATAATCCTACCTATTAAATGTAACTTTGTATACAATTAAATTTATCAAATAGAGAATAAGTCCTAAAAATATAAAAAAAATGAACAAAATAATTTAAAAAATATAATCCAATTGATGGATTTAAAAGCCAAATAGAAATATATTTTTTACAGAATAAAAATAAAATAACATATAACCCAAAGCCAAAATATATACTATTGACCCAACAGATCGTGGACGAGTGGTTAATATTGGGGTAGAAGGTAACTCCACTTTGAAATTGAGTATTCGATTCCTGGTTGGTGGGGAGGGAGATAATTTCTGGGTTTATATAATCCATATACAAAAGTTGCTTCCGTACTGAAGGTTTACCTAGTCAGCGCACCCGAATGATAGCAGTTAGGGATCCTCCGTTATCAAAATATATATATATATACTATTGCTAATTGGGTTTGGCTGAAGTTCCAACTGTACGCAAAGAAAAATATGCCAATTATGAAACTTTATTCGGTTTATTAAAAAAGGGTCCAAACCAAATGATGCTCCCTCATCGGTCATCCCACTAGTTTAGAAGCATGAGATAGGCGCCACGTCATCATAGATCGCTCGCTCTGCAAATACGATGGATCTTATCTGATCAGGACACGTGTACTTTAGTCAAACCATGTGCGTTGACGCATGAACAAGATTTACAGAACATCATCTCCCAGTCAAAACCAAACACGATATTTTTTTAAAATAAAATAAAGATTAAAGGGGAATTCATAACCACATATCTCAAAGGATTCGGATTTTCTTTTATATCAAACAATTAAATGAGATAATTACGTTTGAAAACGATATTCCATATTGTTTTTTTTTCTTCCGAGATATCCGTATCAATATATATATATATATATATATATATATATTGAATTAAACATTCCTTTTAACTACATAAAACAAAACACATATTTTAGGGTTTTTTTTTTATAGAAAACCAACAAAAGATTATTTATCGCATTTTTTTTCCCATGTCTCATTAGGGTCACAACAACAAAGCATTCACCTACCACTGCAACACATACTTTCACAAGGTGTAGTGTGTGTATATATATATATATAAAATATTTAACCGCAGTTTGCTGTTTTTTAACCGGTCCGATACATCAGTATATATACAGTTATACCCCACTAGCAACTCTTTTTTTTTGTGTGAAATGCGTGCGTTCTTTGCGAGTTTAAAAAAAACTCCGAAAATGTGGGGAGGAAAGAAATGATTTCTGATGAGTAAAAAAAATAAAGTTTTTTTTATGGATTTAGAGTCATTTCAGCTCTGTGGTTTATTTGAATTACGTGAATGAGTCTTTATAGAAGAAACAAAGGAAATCCAGACAAGATGGGGACGTTTGAAAGAGCCACAAAGAAAATCAATTAAATGATGATGATGATGATGATGATGATGATGATGATGATGGTGGTGAAAAATCAATAATCAAACTAATTCATAACATAAAAAACTCATTCTCGTGTAATATATGAAGAAATTACCCTCACAAACCCAACAAAACTGGCGGAAAAATCTCGTATAATAAAGAAAATATTTAATCACTCACAAAACCAGGAAAAAAATGGAATTAAGTAAAAAAAAAAAAAAAAAAAGGGGGAAGAGAAATCAAGTTTAAACTGAAGTAAAAAAAAAAAAACTCACGTCTTTTTACCTAAGGAAAAAAAACTACTACGCACAAAATTAACGGCGAAAGCATTACACACACACGCCGACTGCCGCCGCCGCCGCCGTCGTCAAGTTGTTCTTGTAGCATCATGCTGCTCATCAACGCCTCCGCCGTGTGATCCACTCGCCGGAGACTCGCCGGAAACTTGCCTTCCGTACGGATTTAGGCCAGAGAGAATACTCATATGCCTTTGATGATGATAATTATGATGATGATCCGTATGAGTATGATGATCACCATCACCATCGCCATCTACTCCTCCGCCGCCGCCGTTGTCGTTATCCTCGTTGATCGTATTACTCGTAGTGGATATATGTTGGCCGGAGAGTAGAGCCATTGGCGGAGCTGCGGCGGCAAAGTTCATGAAGTGTAAGCCGCTCGTTACGGTGGCATCACATCTCGCAGCTCTTATCACCCTTTCCATTCGAATCCTTGTTCTCTTTTTCTCCTCAATCCTGTAATTTCATCCTCCGCCGAGGCCGGCTGCGGCGTGGGGGTTGCTGGCGGCGGCGACCATCCAGAAGTTCCCCGGGATCTGAGCCAAGGTAGGTCCGCTGTTGCTAGATTGCAAACCATAGCTCCCGATTTGGTGACGCAAATCTGTCGTCGTTTCGAGCCTCCGTTTCTTCTCCGAGCTCTCTTCCGATTCATCTTCCAAATTGGAACCACCTTCTTGTTTAGCTTGCATACCAGAAGAGCTCAAGAGATGGTTACTCGTCGTCGTCGGGTTTTGGAAGTTCAGAAACGACGTCGTTGTGGGAGCAAACGTGTCGAGGCCAGGGAAGAGAGAAGCGCTCGTGCCTCTTCCATGGAGATAATTACGTTGTTGCTGCAACAAAGCGGTGGTGGGGGAGAATGGACTAGGGTTGATGTAAGTTGCGGCGGAGTGGAAGCGGGAAGGGAGGGACATGGAGGAGCCGGAGGAGCGGAGAGAGATGTTCAAGGAGGTGAAGTTCGCAGGAATCGTTCCGGTGCCGGTGGCGGCGATGACGGCGGGCTCCGCCTGCTGGAGAGATAATTACGTTGTTGCTGCAACAAAGCGGTGGTGGGGGAGAATGGACTAGGGTTGATGTAAGTTGCGGCGGAGTGGAAGCGGGAAGGGAGGGACATGGAGGAGCCGGAGGAGCGGAGAGAGATGTTCAAGGAGGTGAAGTTCGCAGGAATCGTTCCGGTGCCGGTGGCGGCGATGACGGCGGGCTCCGCCTGCTGGAGAAGCCACTCTATGGTCTCACCGTCGGATTTGTGGCCGAGCTCTCTGGTCAGTTGGAAAACCCTAGCCGCGCATAGAGCCGGCATCCGGATCCTACGGCCTCGGCCGTCTACCTTGGTGTGTCGGTCCTTTGTCGAAGTCCGCTTCGGATTCGGCTTCTTGGCCGCAGCCGAAGATTGATCTTGATGAGGCTGTGATTGCGACTGCGATTGCGGGTGCAATTGCTGTTGGAGGGAGAAGAGGGAGGAGGAGGAGGAGGGTTCGTCGTCGGAGTCTCGTTTTCCGAGGAGCTGGAAAGGGAAAGTCGGCCGATGATGATGCCGTTGGTGATCATCTCCACCGTCCATCATCACATTAACTCTCTCTCTCTCTCTTAATCTAGCTTGATATGCGGAGTGGCAGTCCACGTAAATATGGGGCAAGTATATTAGGGTTAGTGTTATGCTTGTCGTTGTTCTTGTGCGTTTGGCTCGTTCTTACAGGAACAAATGGAAACCTGATTGATGCGACGAGGGAGGAGGAGAGAGAAAATGCGAAGGAAAGCTTTGAGGAACAAAGACAATGAGTGGGAATTATATTGGGTGTGAGCTTTTAAAAGCATTCTTCTTTCTATTCTCTTTTTCTTCTTTGGGGGAGCAAAAGATAAATATTGCTCTCATTGCTCCATGTCATAATTTGATTATGTCGACTAACCATATATGCAAATGCAATTATCCGTACGTTAATTTTATCCATTATTTGTTTTTTGCACCATTTAGCATCGTTTTCGTAGTGTAGTGTGTGTATATATAAATACGCGGCCGAAATTACTATTTCCCAACAAATGTAAAAATATACCATTAATTTTTTCACACATATATCAGCTTTTGACTGTTTGTTTTTTTTACGGAATAGTAAAATCTAACAGACGGCGACTTATACGCTTTTGATAATTATCATCTTCTCCTATTCTCGCACTTTATTTGTACGTATTTGCGTCATCCCAGTTTTTACCACATGGAGAAAACTACATGCATTCAACAGAAATATAAAACTTTTGATCAAATGATTCCTGCGTCGGTGAATTTTGATAATCTGTTGTCATATTAATCTCTTTTAACCCTTTTTATATGTTAAAAATGAATTATATATAAAAAAAAAGATAATGTACATCCATGCATTTACAAAACACGTGATTGATTAGCCTCTTGATCATATTTAAGAACACTACTATAAATCCGAGCTCTGCGATTCACCGTACAACGGGTCGTGTTTTGACGACTAGTAAATTAAAGGAAACAAAAATCTGAACGTTGCATCAGTAAATGAAATAAATGAACAATAATAATCTATGAACAACACAATATGAAATAAATATCTGAAATTAAAAAAAAAAAATCGAGGTTTTTTTTTTTTTTTGTTTGAAAATGTGGTTGGACAGAGTCTCTTTGGCTGCAGAGTCCACGTGAGGTGTCCTCTTTTATCATTCATTCCATAAAGACGATGGGGAAGGTCCGTGGGTCCCACGTTAGTGCACCCTTAGCAATTTTAAAAAATAAAATAAAATTTTTGGTAAGACCTATTAGAGAAAAAAAAGGAAAATATTTCAAAGGTGGGTCCCGCATCATTCATGTAATCATTCCTCTTCTGCAAACTTTTTTGCTGGAGATGATACTATAAGATCTGAAATATTTAATAGTAAATTATCATATGATACCCTTCATATATATATATATATATATGTGTATATATTTGCCAATGCACAGCTAAGCCAGCCTAATGATCGAATGTTATTTTGAATAACAAAGGTGTGGCGATGATTAGAATAGAGAGGGGTGGATCTTAATCAATGCACTTAGTATTGTAATTTGTAGATTAAATTTTTTAACATACACTATTTTTTGGATCCGCCTATTATTTGTGTGTATGTGTGTGTATATATATAGAGAGAGAGAGGGTGTATCTTAATCAATTTACTTAGTATTGTAAATTCAATTGTTTAACGAATTCTATTTTTTGGACCCGCCTACACACACATATATAGTTATCTACTGATAACTTTAAAGGGTCGAATTTGATTTTATATTTAATTTCCCCTTGTAATTAGCATTTGGACCCCATTCATGACTTAAATTCAAAGTGCATAGGAAATATTGTTTTAAGTCCATGCAAAATCATACATATATACCTATATACTATTTGAATATGATACGCGTTTCTAGATCGGTTTCCTTCGTCGATAAATAAATATGGAATTTTATAAAAATGTGAATAATTATATAAAATCAAATAACATATGAAAATTTTAAAACTAAAATAAAGAAATGTGGATGTTGGCTTTGGGATTCCTCCTTTTTGCATCTCTTTTTTTTTTTTGTGGTCCATTCAAAACTATGGCTTTTCCACGTTCAATATGATTACGATAGTACTCATTATCTCATGGGCTCTCTTAGTTGTTTGGTTAGGGTTTAATCAAGGGCTACTAACTTTCGGGGGTCTAGGGTTTAATTAATTAAATCTTATTTTATAGTTTTATTGGTTAATTATTTCACTGATCAAGCCTTCCATTATATTATTATTTTTTAGGATTAATATAAACTGGAATTGTGTCCTCCCCACCTAAGACGGAATCAAGTATATGATTGCCCAAATTGTAATTCAATGGAAACACGATGGTATGGTCAAATTTAATTATATTTATAATGCCTTCCCACATAAAATTTATCCTTTTACACATATATCACATTTTTTCAGTTGCCCATACAAAAATAAAAATTTCGACTGGGGCCTAGAGGTAAATAAAATGCAGAATATTGTCTAACACCTATAATAATACGAATGGGTAATATTTTTATAATATGAAATAAAACATTTTTAATATAGTACTTTTAACGTACAGATGTAAAAAAATTGCATACAACAAATATAGCTTACGATTATAGTAAATTTATTTTAAAAAAGAAAAAAATAGATCTGAAAAAGAATTTCGTGTAAAAAAGTTATGGACAAAAAAATTGTAAAAATACAAAAGAAAAAAGGATCCGAAAATTTTATAGAATTTAGAAGAGAGTGAATACTTAGGAAAATGAGATTAAAATCAAATATATCCATATAAATTTTACAAGAATCTTGGTGTGTTGGTGTATCATTTGTGAAAAGATCAAATATGTCCATATATATATATATAATGTTTAGGTTTATCGTTTTTTAATTCAGGAAAAAGGTACAGGCAAGAAAATACAAAGAGGACTTGGCTTGAAATCGAAATGTCTCAATTTCATGGCACAGATTAATTTAATACAAAAACGATTGATGTAACATACGTTAGCTAAATTGTACAAAACAGGCTGTGCATGTTTGCAATAAGTGTGGTGGTGAAACAGATGACGTGGGTCGTATTCTTACTATGTCATACCTTTCTCACCCATATCTCTTTTTATTTTGTATATATAACTAGCCCTAAATCTATATATATATATGCTCCACTCTCGATCTTGTAAATTTCTAATAAAAAAAATATTTTGTGATAAAAATTTATCCATGCAAAATTCAATTGCTTCTAATCCAATTGGGTGACCCAATGATTAAGAGGTGATAAAATTAATTTAAGTTTATGTGTTCGATTTCACTAGTGGAGAAGAGGTCCCGCAATTAATTGCGTAACTAAAAACTGATTTCAGGTATAGAAAAATTAAGTGGGTCGAATCTCCTGATTATTAAAAAAAAATATACATGAATGAATATCGCTAAAAAGTTTAGAAACTATAATAGGCTGTAGCAAGGAATTATTACGAAAAGCCTAACCTACGGACCATTTTATGCAAATGTCCGAATTTTCCCATATGTTTTTTTTTAAAAAAAATATATAATTTATCCATAAATTAATTCCATTCTCAAACTCAATATCGTCAATCCGTTGCGTCATTAAAAACCAAAGATAATTGTATTGTTCTCAAGAAAACAACCACGGAAATATTCGAAATTTATGAAATGATTTCAAAGTTACCAAAAAAAAAATGAAATGAAAAACCATATATGATAATCGGTGATTAAAGTAGAAACATGATGAAAGCATCATACTGGTGGCTTAGAAAATGAGAATCAATAAATGTAAGATTCAGAGATGGATATACAAATGGTGGGTTGGCAGTTTCCTCTCCTTTTACAGATAAATTACAACTTTCCCCATCTTTGGTCCCACCTGTCTCTAACCTTTTTCCCAATATATTATCGAATATTTGGCCAAAAATGAGATTATACACACACTCACACACGTACGTATACATCCCTATGTATATTTGTAAGATGTACACACATGCCTCCGAAAGTTTCTTCTATATTTTATAAATGAAAAAAAAAATGTTTCTTCTATGTCGAGAATGGATTTTTTTTTTGTTATCTTTGAATGCGTGTAAAAGATAGAGAGCTCGAATTTCGACCCAACAACAAGACATTGGCTGCATGTGATGTAAATTGAATTACATATATTTGATGAAATATTAAGTTCAAATCAAATGATTCATCATCAAGAAGTGATGTTGTTTTGAATTTATATTTGATTGCATGTGATATAATTATTTTCATGGTACATGCGATATGATATATTCTCTCTATATTAGATTTGGGGTTTATTTGAAAAAATCATTACGGACCTAAGCGGTGAGAAACGTGGTCCGTGAAAGGTTATAGAAAACCTAATGAAAAAACTGGAGTATGTATTCTTAATTGATAAAAAAAATCTAAGTCACAATAAAAATATATAGAAAATCTATCAATTATGCTAAATTGGTATTAAAAATAATATCAGAATAAAATCCCGTCTTTGTTTTTTGTTTTTTAAAATTCACGAAACGAAATTGGTGGCTGCCTAAACCACAAAGTATTTTGCCTGCGTATACCGTATTTATCTAATTAACTCAACATAGTTACAAATAAAATTCCACGTCACACGGACAGTGTGGTCTCCGGTTTTTAATAGGGGTGTCAAACGGGCCAGTTCAGATCGTTTTGAGCTCAGCTCATTTGGCTCGGATCGTTTTGGGCTCATCTCGTTAGGCTCGTTTTCTAACGAGTCAGAAAAATCTTGGCTCAGATCGCTCGCCAGTTTTTCGATCTGAACGAGCCGGCTCGTTAAACCAAGGATATATAATATTTTTTATTTATATTTATTTTAAATATAATTATAAATTTAAATAAATACATAAAAATTTAATAAAACACCAATATCATTTAATATTTTCAATTATCATCATCATCATAATAATTAGTATATTTATAATATCATATAAATGATATGAAAAAAATTAATATAAAATTATATTAGAGTTTTTTATATAAATTTAATTTATTTT